GGCAATTCGTGGGTAATGAAAACCGATCGATACTTAACTACGTCTAGTTTACGTAAAAATGGAGCCCACTGTGTATTCCGATGTAGAAGAAATCAAATGACTGAGTGGAATTTTAACACATCCTTTCAACAGCAGGAGTTTCAATGGTGGGTTCCAGCTCTTCGAAAATCGCGATGAGATTAGAACAAGTCTGTGAAACTAGCTATTCTTTCCTGTTTACAGCTTTCTGATTGCCTAGCCCTCACTCGATGAGATATTTTAGAACTTCAGTAATATGAAGAGATATATATATATATGGTGACTTTCGCACAAGCGACAACTTCGCTAATCTGAGCCAGCTGTGGGCATAGGAAAAAGTCTTTATTCGTGTTCAGGCTCGAATTCTATTTGTTAAGGATGCAACCCCTACGTGCAGGTTCCCTATAAGTCTCCTTAGACATTGATCGAACGCGTAACTCATACACTACGGAAGACACAAGCACAAAACTGGGAAAGATCACTATAGTAAATCCGGCAAAATATTATATTGGTGTTACAGCTCTCACCTTAATGTTTTGGCAAAATAATGAATCTTTCACAGTATGAGATAATCTTTGAATACGTTCGGACGAGGGCAGTCATTAATTAAACGCTGTCAGACATGATGTACTTAACTGTAGCCGAAACACAATCCGCGTGTAAAACCTTATAGACCAATTAGATCTATCGTACTTCCGGAAGTATACATAGGAACAGTAGCTTAATAGCTGTCACTCTTACGGATAACTCCGACTAACTTGATTTATGAACCTCGCTAGAATAACTACAACAAAGTTACAGTCATGTTTCTCTATTTGAAGGAGTTAGACATCTAAGCTGTAGTATAATTCTGACAATGTCCTTATCAACCGCTTTCTGATGCGTGCAGTACGTGGGAGGTGGATGTGCGGCTACGAACCTTTCATCCATTTCCATTAGGATTGATTTTCAAATGGAATAATCACATTACCATGTGGCACAGTAGTAGACTGTTATTCAATCAAGGGGTTTATAATCTAGAAGAATAATATTTTTTGTTGACTGAAAAAAAAGTAATAGATAACCAAGGCGCGTGTAATCTATGAAACAGTTGATTGTCGAAAAAAAAAAAAAAAACCAGAGAGCACGAACTTGCACATCATGTAAAACCAGGGGTCTGAAAAAGCTTAAAGCCAATATAGACAACATATTATCCTCGGATAAAAACTAACGCTTTCTTTTTTGCATTGCAGGTCCTTTAAAAAGGGAATAACTAGCATGCTATTGTGACATTCCTTCCGAGATGTAAACATCTGCTGCCGGTTGACGAAGGGTGGATAACGCTATCAACTGGATAAATCTCTCTCTGCTGGATAGTGATATATCCGTTGGATAGCGTTATCCGCCCTTTGAACGACTGAGCCCTGGGAGAAAAACTACAATGTGCCTTCACAAAATTATGATTAATTTTATGTCACGAGCACTACATATAGATGAGGCATCCGAGACCTTTCGAGAGCTGAAACGCAGAAGCTATTTTTGGATAAGTCGGTACGAAACGTGTTTTCTTAGGTGATTTTCGTCCAAATTGACTTTGGCATATAGGCTCAGGAATGCAATTTTTGTTTCGTTGTCTTTCATTGTGATCAATACACTCTCTATGGCCTATCCTTAACGTATTCTGTCGTCTATTAATGCAATAATTCATACAGAAATAGTTACTTTCAACTCGGTATATTCGTTATTTTTTGTGTAAATATTGAACACAATGAACTTGCGGATTATCTTAACGTCTTTAAGTATTGAATATAACAGCAGGTACCGGGTTTAAGAATGAATACCGGCCTTGTAAAACAGAACAGGAGGCCCTGCTTTATCGTGCACCTTTTAATGCAATGTACTGCTGGATAAGCGAAGAGAATTCGGCAAAATGAGCCCGAGCTTGTTACAAAATAAAAGGGAACTGGAGTAGCTCAACGAAATTGGGCACGCGAGCGTTATTCCTCACAGAACACATTTAAAATTTTCAATAGTTGGCTTGCCAAGAGAACATACGAGAGAACATAAACGCCTATGGCGAATTTAAGGCAAATTTACTCACTTACTCAGCCGCTGAAGCTTTTGAATCTCCAACTGATTCCCCTGTTAAAACGACAGTCAATAACTGGTGTAATCTCTGTCGCGAGTGAGCGTGCAGGCAATGAGTCCCTCTTCATTATGTAACCTTTTTTCATAATAAAATACGTCATATCATCGGCAAAAATAAGTCATCTGAGAGTGCTCGGTAATAGCTATTCACGTGGCCCAAACTGTTAAAATCGCTAAATTCCAGTAGCTTAAGACCGTAAGACCTTAAGTGGTCGATCAAGGTAAGCCTTGCAAAACCCATGGGTAAGCAAAACGACTCTTTTCAAAGGTGCCTATGGGTCATTCCTCTGATTTAGATCCTGTGAGAAACAATGATTGTTTACGGGAAAATAATGGCCCATTTCCAAGGCGAAAGAACCCAAGAATACTTTAAAAGCATCAAATTGCCCAATTTTAACTCGTAAATAATTTAAATTATTTAACGAATTAAAATATCTCTGATCAAAAGCGCGACAGTTTCAATCATATCTAGTTTGATCGATTTTCAGGGGGGTTTTAATTAAGTCGTCTTTTCACGTTTAGCTGACCACAAGAGATCAGCTTGTATCCTTTTATCAATTTCCCTCCTGGCTTGAATGCCGCTAATCCAACGCCGGTAACCTCCGGTAGTTCGCCTAATTTCCTTGAAAGCTTGTTGATATAAATTGATAATCTTGGGTGGAAAGAGGCATTGTGTGATTTTATGTGTCTTTCCAAAGGCAAATGACCGGATAATTTAGGGCCGTTTAGCTCGGTCTTAGTTGGTCTGCTTTGCCTTCCATAAACTCCCTTCCTTTCCCTCGATCATGTGTCGAAGCGACCGGGCGCGCTGCAAACGTTACTTTGGATTTTTTAGGGCGAAGAAGGCCTATGGCTGTTATGCTGGAAACCCCAGAGGGATGTATAACAACTAATTTTATGCACATCTCTTTTGATAACAATCGTATGGAGCTGCCATATTTGCTTAGCTCGCACCATGTTCCCGCCCAGATCTCACACGGTTGACACTACATGGTCACCTATAGTAAGCGCTGGTCAGCAGCCACTCGCCGAGCAATCAATATGGCGGATCCGAGTGGTCATGTGCCAAATAACGAGTTCAGAGAACGTTTGGTGGAAAAAGTTCAATTAAATGTAACGGAAACAGGAAAACTGGCTCAACAACTATTAAAGAGTTCACGATCGCACGAGGTAAACTGTACCACTGAGATTTGGTTCTAGGGTTTTACTGTAGTGATTTTCTTCCTGTATCTACGGTTTTGAGGGGATATATTCTAGACCCAAAGATGGCCGTGTTATTTTGGCAACAATTACAAATTGATGCTTCATTTGGAAAAATGGCTCCGCACAAAGCCTACTTTTAATACTTTTCAAAGTGTTAAAAAAAAAATTAAAAAATACTTATTTCCAGACGCCCATCTTCACCTCCTGTCTTAAAAAAAGAGTGAAAATATTTGACGAAAGACAGCTTTTTCCTAAAATATTAATCATCGAGAGAGATTTTTTAAAATCTTTTTACGAGCGTCAGCTAAAGAAAAAATGGTAAAGTTTCCGCACAGCCCCATACCATTGTAAAACAAATCTGTTTTCCCAATGGAAATGTATTGTTTTTGTCATTGTTTTCTCTGTTCAAGCACTGAATGCATAATGTAGGATGGGGCTGTGCGGAAATTTTACCCTACAGAGACTCTGTGGTGAACAACGCTCATTACAAAGTTCATATTTAAGCTCAAAACTTGCCATCTTTCCTCATATATATTGATCATCCTTTGAAGCATGTAGATCTTCTTTTTACGTACTTATGAAAACGATGCTATTCTGTAAACAATATACCTGTGGAGCTCTGTGCCACACTTAGCTAATTTAAATTCATTGCCTATATATTTGTAGATCCTGTCACAGACTACTAAACAATTTGTAAATCAAGAGGGTGCTATTGCAAATTCCCAGGAGGTGAGCAATAAAAAAGGGCAACATGAGTACAATAACTGTTTAACTGTGCATTACTGAATGTAATCTGTGAGATCCTGCTCTGGAGTTCACCAGTAAACCAGCTCACTGGCTTCATCTCAGGTTTAAGGACCTGCAAAGTGTTTTTCTTTGTTTTGGGGCAATCAATTTCATAAGTTCCATTGTTTTGATTTCTTTGTTCTCTTTGTTCTCTGTCGAACCTTAAGGATGGGTGGCTTTCTTGCTCGAAGACTCTGCAACAGTAAATGTCTGAAAAAGTTGTTTACATTTTGCAGACAGACTGAATATATGGTGATTTAGCTCCTTTTAAACTTGGTTTGTAAGGTTCAATTTTGTTAAGCACTGTACAAAAGGTCATGATGGTTAATGATGGTTTCAACTATTATGCACACCTGAACACAAACTATTATGCACTATCATCAGCTAACTTCAACTGCATCATGTAGTTTGGACATGATTAAATTCAACATGATAGTTGATGATAGGTTTTGCTGTTTGGAAGAGCAGATGATTGTGAATGATTGTTATTTGGTTAGGAGTTCTGCTGAAAATGTGTTCAGACTGAAATGGCAAATGAGAAATTGACTAAAACAGCTGTCAAAATTTTTCAGAATGTCTTGTAGTTCATTCTTATCATTCTCTGGTAGGCTTTAGTATCTTCAAATTTGCAACTCCTTAACTAAATTTCAAATGTCATCGAAATTATTGACCTCAGCATGCGTCATATTTGTTTACAATTACACATCTTATTGCATGATTTTGTGGACTTGTTGGTAAAAGTAAACTGTTAAGTGTATAAGTAATACAATGAAGTGTCATTTTCATTTGCTGCTTCTCTTTTCACAGCTCTTAAAACAATCTGGAAGAATCATATCAGACATGGAATCACAGTATGTTGTACATTGCATTTCTGAAATTACTGCAGTCACAATGCTGAAAATCTGATCCTCATTATTCTAAAAAGTATCTTAGAACAGCTATAAATGTATGTGCACATGAACATAGATTGCATAGTGAACTCTGCTATTAAGACATGGACATTTTGACTTGATTTAGAATTCTGTGCAGAATGCTGATTGCATACACAGGGTGGTAGATTACTTTCCCTGCACCAACAGTTTGTGCAGATAACATGCAGGTCCTAACAAATTAAATTGTAGTAAATGTGATAAGGAGTCTGTGATCTAACTGACTGTACCATGGGTGTCTTTTTTTTTTCTCAAAGGTTTGCTGACATTCAGCACAGGTGAGGCAGACCAAGTAAAGCTCATTTTCTTCTTAAAACTCAAATTTTATAATTGATACTAGTATATACTACATAGATGAATAGTGCGAGGAGACATTGCTGGTGGCTTTTTTTTAATGTGTTGAATGTTTCAAAAGTTTCCCTTAATCCAGGATTTTTTTATTGTAGCTAACGAACATCATTCTATCAACCCTGTCAAACCCAGGAGTTATTAGCATCAAATGTCTCCTAACAATGTTAATATCATTTACAGATAATTTCTCCTTACGGTATCGCCCTCAAATTACACTTTAAGGTCATGAGAATAAAGGAAATGATCGCCAACTAAAGACACTCTTGATTCTTAAACGAATAATTCTCCTTGTCAGCACCTTACCAAGCATATAAAGAACAGGATGGAGAATATGCATTCTGATGCTAGCTTGTAAAGGGTTAGTAGTCACTCTAAAATTCTGTTTTTGTTACAGGATACAGACAGTGAACAACATTAATGAACACTTGGAACCAATATGGAGGTAATGGCATTTTCCTGAGTACTGACGTCAATTTGGACTCTATTTGGATGAACTCCTTTACACGGATAGCTAAGAAGGCCAAAAAAATTCATATGTAGGGCACTCGGAATTTCTTAGAACTACAAATTTAATGTTTACAGTCTATAGCTGGCAAGAAAAATTTCTTGGAAAGTTGGTAATACTGGTTAGGGAACGGCCTCCCTGCATGATGTTAGTTGGTCACTTATCCAACTGCACTCCACCAAAAACCAGAAAAGAAAAGCCAGAACATTTGTATTTTTGTGGTTATTACTAATAGTTTAATTTAATGATTGTAACAGATCTTTACAAAAATATATTACTAATTGTAGATTATAAACTACTTAACAAGCGTAATTCATAGCTGACACAGTGAATTTGAAGCATGCAGATGGAGACCTCTAGTTCTAAGTATTTTTACAGTGTGCTGGACTTCTGATTTTTGCAGGACAGCAATGAATGATAGCATAGGTGTTGCTGGTCATGCTCCTGGTAACATACTCTGTGACCACATGAGACTAAATATATAATTACGAATTGTCTTTATTTGCTAACAGAGATCAAAGAACTCTCCAGCTTTTGTACATAATTCTTTGATTTCACCCGGATGACCTGTGCTTTTTTTATACTCAGACATGAAGAATTCTCCTCCTGTTCTTTTACACTCTTCTCTTGCCTCTTCATTTGATAATGAAGAACCCATGAACTATGGTTACATAACTATGTTAGCAGCCCTATCAATTTTTGGTTGAAAGGGTGGGAAGAGAAAGCCTGTGTTTCCTCAACTGGATTTGATAACTACTACCTTTCATTCTTTGTAAAAATCAACTAAGTATGTTTTATGTGCGGTGCTGTCACTCATTATCTAAAGGAATCTTTGGCTATTTTTTAAATTTGGACTGTTATTACATGCATATCATTCACTATTTACCAGACAGTATTGTGCTCAGGTACTTAACAAAATTGCAACCTTTGATGTACATGTATTATAATTTTGGTGGTGCATAGCAGAAAGCAGGGTTTGCTCAATCAGTATAAGGGTTTGCGCAATCAGTATAAGCTGTGCTGATGGACATGTGCAGTGCTCTTAATACACCAAATGAAAGGGCACTTAGTGTTGAGAGTAACATAACACTGTCATTGTGTTTGTTATCCAGGTGAGCCAAGACCACACACTTGATGTGTGAAGTGCATTTGCATGCAAGGGTCACATGGGAAACAACAAGAGGGTATGGTTCAGGTAAGAACTCTTTACACCAGTCCATCATACAGTGACAGTGCCTGTACAATTGATGGATCAGACTTGGAGCCCTCACGGAATTCCTCCATTGACAACTTGCCATCAGCATTCTGTGGAATAGAACATAGCATTTCGACAAAGCAGCACTGAAGAAGAAGTTCAAGAGAGAAGAATTCAAGTCCATTATAAAGTATTTGACAGAAATAAGAATAACTAATTTATTAATTTAAAAACCAGAATTAACAAACAGTACATTCTAAGATACATAACTTGTTCTAAGTCAAGGTTAAACAGAGAATGAAAAGACTCACACAGTCAGTAATCCTCTCACTCCAAAGATCTCATTGGTAATCCTCCTTACTTTCTACCATAAATTTCTTATGATGTTGCTTTAAAGAATTTGGTATTGGATCAACTAATAATCCCCTAATTGATATTTTTCCATATTCACATCAATTGTCTTCTGAATATTGTATTAACATTGTTAGGAGAAATTCTGTTTTGGTCACTCATGGGAGTTCAAGGGTTAATCATTGGATTAATTTATATTTTATCTCAAAATCTGTAGGCTGTGTATACACTTAACTCTTCATGGAGAAGGAAATAAATAAATTAGAGCAGGCATGATTAAATTTCAAATCCTGAGAATTTGAGTTTATCTATACAATTAACATGTTTACTACAAAAACACATACTTAGACAAATTTATGAAATATTCCTTTCTATGTGTCTTTTTAATGTAATTAAATGTATTTACTGTACATACAGTATCCATTTGATTAAAAATTCTATTCACTCTCTTTTCTGGAGTATCTTCATCCTCAGGTAACTTTACCATGGTGGCCTGTAAAAGAGTAAATTCTGTAAGGTTGTTTTATATACTGAATCAAAATTAGTTGTTAAAATATCTACACTGGTTGCCAGTATTCCAATCCTCACGGCTAAAACTTGTGTGTTGACCTTTTACCCCTATTGCATCACATTCAGTATGTATATTCTCACTGCTGTTCTTTATAATTTCCTGAGGTGCTGACAAGGAGAATTTGTTTAATAATCAAGAGCTTCTTTAGTAGGTGATCATTTCTTTTATTATTGAGACCTTAAGGAAAGATTTGGGGGTGATATTGTGAGAAATTAGATGCTGGTCACTGTCAGGGGCATTGTCAAAGGGTTGACAATGTACAGCTGTAGAGAGAACAAGTTCCCTCACTTACCACCATTTTGTAAATTGAATCCACTATATGAAGCATTTCCTCTTTAGTTATATAACCATCATCATCCAAGTCATACAGCTTAAAAGCCCCTGAAAAAAATTTTTTTTTTCACATCTTGGATTAAAAAAATTAATCGATACAAAACCTCTGATAGATATTTGTCTGTCAGACAATGGGCTTATAGACTTAGAATTGATTATTTTAAGTAGTTTTATGAATTATCAATATTTCACTTTTCATCTCCCTCACAGTTCCCCACACGTGACAAAAAGGTAAATATGGGCTAGGTATTACTACTGACACAGTTAATAACCTCATATTAGAAAAGTACAAGTCACTTACACTGCAGTTTTTCATCAATACTTCCTCTTGAGGTTACTGACAGAGCACAAATAAACTCTCTAAATTCAATGGTTCCATCCTAAGGTGAAAATAACAAAAATGCCAGCTTTTTACCATGTGAAAATCAGTGATAAGATTCATCTGTATTAACCCATACACTCCTAGGATCTAAATATTTATGAAATGCAATGTCTGTTGTCTATTCTCATGATTTTGGGACTGAAGATGTGGTTTGAAATAAAAAAAATATTACTGTTCTGCCAGAAAATGGATTAGTGTTGGAGGGAGAATTAGGGTCAAAAAAGATTCTTCAAATTTAAGTTTAACCTCATTGGAATATTAATCTTATGGCAAATCTTGATCACGAGGGAAATCTGGAATTTATACCTACATTATGAATAAAATGCCCTTCTTATTACTGTCCATGATAATTGTGATACAAATCTAAATGCTCATTCAATCAAATGGTGAAAATCTATTAATAACAACGCAGGGCTAAAATTGTCTGACAACCCTTAATTTTTCAATTGTCTCTTGTCTCTTGATGACTGTAGATCAATCATTTTTTTTATCCATTGTGAGCACATGAATCATGAAAAAGCACTATAACAGAGATCTTACTTGAATAATTTAGACATGGCTTACGGAAAGAAGGCATACAAATGACACTTCACAATCCATGATGTTTTGAAATGAATGATTTTGTAGGTAGGTTAATCATTTGCCTACCAAGGTTTAAGTTTTTGTAAAAGGGGATATAGAATATCTGCTTAGTAATAAGATTTGCATAAATGTAACATTGAAAAATCTATTTTCTTGAAAAATTGCATCATACCAAGGTTTATCAATTATTGAAAAGTAGGAGAAAAACTTAAAAATTTTAAAAATTTTGCTCCTCAGCTGTATTTAAAAAATGTTTTGGCAATCTTCCTAAAATACTTTTGCTTATTTTTCACTCTTTGTGTTGTCATTGTGGATGGTACCTTTTCTTTTTCCATAAAGAAGACAAGCACTAAATTTAACCACAACAATATTTATCTCCAGGGGTTTGTCACTTAACATGGAACACATTTTCTAGTTATTGATATAATGCACATTCGTGTGGCACAGTGTTTTCGGTAACAATCCAAATTTTAAGAATTTTTAAAGTTCTAAAAATACAAAGGTTTGATTTCTCAGTTATTAATTTTCATCCGACGATTTTTAAGGTGGTGTCTGTCAGACGTCACAGGCAGAGGACTAAATTTCTTATGCAACAATCAAAACACGAAGTTGCGGTCTGTTTCGGTGTAGCGATCGCAAAATAAAAGTAATAC